TTTAACTGGAACATCTGTTGCTATGAGACAGTGGCAAAATATTTTTCACTACTCACCAGCTTCCTACTTTCTTCAAGAGCACAGAAAACTTCATGGCTAATCATACCGTAAATACTGAGGAAGCTGGGTAAATGGTGTGAGCTGCAGAGGCAAAGTTTAGCATCTCCATCTACTCACAGCTAGCTCAAGTCTGATTGATTGGGGTTCTGTGTTTGCCAAAAACCACCTACAATTTTCAGTTGTTGGTTTCTGATATTTTAATGAATTAGGTCCTCGGCTATTTTGACAGTTGCCCTGGGTCTTTCCTTTGTAAAATGTGACAGTTCTAGCCCCGAGTGTGGCCCAGCCCCGAGCCTCTTCCTCCCAATGCCTGCATTATAGTCTTGCCAAGTGCTGCCTGCTGGGCTGGGTGGGGAAGGTCTGGGGAGAAGTTGGTGGGGGCTTAGGAAGAACGGTGACCATTTTCTCATCTGCTAAGAGAAGGCAGTCACCTAGGTTTCACTGTGCAACACAGCTGGGCAGGAAGAAAGAGAATCCTTGTTCATAAGAGAACAGTCACATTCTAGATGCTGTCTAGGGCTGTGAACAACATGAGGAGACGGCCACCTGAGAGGGCTGAAGTGGCCAGGCCACGGATGTGCTGCCAGCACACAGCAGGCATCTGCCTAGCTGTCCCCTCTGCAGAGCCACAGGGCCTGTCGTGCCAGTGGCATTGGGCCTTGGACTGCCAAGGGGCAAAGACAACAGAGGAGAAAGACTGAGCTGACTTCTCAGTGGGGCTGAAACGGATTTCTGGGGTGGCTGGTGCTGCAGACCAGTGCAAAGGCCCGCTGTAGTCAGTTTCAGCTGGCCAGTTCTGCTCGCTGGAAACTTCAGTATTTCATATTCAAATGTATGGTTTTGTTTGTTTGAGATGGCGTATCAACCTGTCACCCAGGCTGGAGTGCAGTGGTGTGATCATAGCTCACTGCAGCCTCAAACTCCTGGGCTTAAGCAATCCTCCCACTTCACCCTCCTGTGCTAGGATTACAGGTGTGAGCTACCATAGCTGGCCTTAAAGAAAAACAAACAAAAAGAGTGTTTAATGTTTTCATGTCAAAGTTAAAGCAAACTGTTTATACACGCTTTTTTCAAACAGTACACATAGATTGTGTATACAGTGCAGAAAGGGAAAGCCCTCACCCCTTCTACTGGCAGTCTCTGAGGAGGTTTTATTCCATAGGGAAATAACTGAGTATGTAGAGAGTTGGGCTGTGTCCTGCTTTTTTTTTTTTTTGAGACAGAGTTTCGCTCTTGTTGCCCAGGCTGGAGTACAATGGCATGATCTCAGCTCACTGCAACCTCTGCTTCCCAGGTTCTAGCAGTTCTCCTGCCTCAGCCTCCCGAGTAAATGGGATTGCAGGCATCTGCCATCATGCCCACCTAATTTTTTGTATTTTCAGTAGAGACGGGGTTTCCTCATGTTGGCCAAGCTGGTCTCGAATTCCTGACCTCAAGTAATCTACTCGCCTCAGCCTCCAAAAGTGCTGGGATTACAGGCGTGAGCCACTATGCCTGCCCTGCGGACTTTTTTCTGTGTCCACATGCACTTGGGTGAGCACACCCAGAGCTGATTTTGTTTGGGGAACATGGGATCCTGCCATACACCATTTTCAGCCTTTTGAAAAGTTCATTAATATATCTCAGACATCTTCCATAACAATCACAGTGCCAACCATTGTATGTGCCATCATTTAGTAATTTTCCATTTATTGACAACATTTTAAAATTTGTCATTAAAGAAGAGCTGGGCTCAGGGGGTCACACCTGCAATCCCAGTACTTTGGGAGGCCAGGACAGGATGATCACTTGAGTTCAAAAGTTTAAGACAAGCACGGGCAACATAAGGAGACCCTCTCTACACACAAAAAAATGTTTTTTTAATTGTCCCAGCTACTCAGAAGGTTGAGGCAGGAGGATCCCTTGAGCCCAGGAGTTGGGAGCTGCAGTAGCTATAATGGCACCACTGCACTCCAGCCTGGGTAACAGTGGAAGACCCCATCTCTAAAATAATGATAATAATAAATTCCTCTTTTATACTTTAATCTCTTATCATAAAATACATGTTTTAGTTAAAATGTCATAAGCAATATATAAAGCTGGAACTGAACTCCCTTAGAATCCCATCCTCAAAGACAACCTGTGCTTTCTTAAATTGTAAATGTTTTAGTAATGTAATGTTTTATTCATTTTGCTAGCTAGCTAGGTAAAATATTTCCATGCTACAGGACTTCAAAGGAACAAAAGGGTATACAGTGAAAAGTTGATCTCCTTCTTACCCCAAACTAATGTTAAAATTCTTATATGTCCTTTCAGTTATGTTCAGGCAGACACATATATTCACACACACACAATGTAGCAAACTGTATCCACTATTCAGTACCTTAGTGTCCCTCCCTGGCTCCCCAGCAACATATTTTGAAAATCTACATTTCACAACTATGGTCACTTCATTCTTGTTAATGGTTGATGGGGTTTTGCCATGTTGCCTAGGCTTGAAAATACTTTTTGATAATAGCTCACTATTTGATTTTTGGCATGTAATTCTGAAGATGATCAAAGAACTGAATGACGCTGTAGAACGTAATTCATTCCCATTTACCTATATCTGTGGACAAGATTTCTCATCTAAGTAAAAATTAAGAGGAATAGAATTGATGCCAAGCTTTGGCCCATTCTGGCAGTATTTAATATTCACCCTTGGATAAATGAACTAATAGGAAAAAATATATATAGATAACATTAGTTAACACTTTGTAATCACAGAAAATTAAAAAGAATCAACATTTAACTGATTGGAATTATTTCTTTTTTTTTGAGACAGTTTCTCTTGTCCCCCAGGCTGCAATGGCACGATCTTGGCTCACTGCAAACTCCACCTTCCGTTTTCAAGTGATTCTTCTGCCTCAGCCTCCCAAGTAGCTGGGATTATAGGCACCTGCCACCACACCTGGCTCATTTTTATATTTTTAGCAGACATGGGATTTCACCATATTGGCCAGGCTGGTCTCGAACTCCTGACCTTGTGATCTGCCCGCCTTGGCCACCCAAAGTGCTGGGATTACAGGGGTGAGCCACCCAGCCTTCTGATTTTTAAATATATTCTATCAATACATTTAACAGAATGATTTGAGTTGGTGATTATACTGTTCTCAGAAATTAAAGTTATATTATTTGCAACTATTTGATTGATGAAAAAATAAATGTGAACTTTAAAATGAATGAGAAGTATCTAGCATCTAGTTTTTTCAGATGTTCATTAGCCAGGTGTAGTGGTACATTCCTGTAGTCCCTGCTACTCAAGAGGCTGAAGGGGGAGAATCACTAGTTCAAGGCTGCAGTGAGCTAGGACGGTGACAGTGTATGCTAGCCTGGGTGACAGAGCGAGACTTTGTCTCTAAATACATAAATACAAATGTTCACAGCAGTGTGTGAAAGCCATTGCATTGTGTGAAACTTGCAGTGCCCAGAAAAGCAAAAATGAAAATTATTTCCTTCCACTCCTCCTTAAGTGCATCTGTTCATAGGTACACACAGACCTGTATATTTTTACAGCTGGGAAAAAAATGCTTTTGCTAGTGAAATATTCAATTTTAAAATGAGATAAAATGAAAAACAGGATTTTAAATTTTAGAGCCAATCTTTCAGATTTAAATTTTTTCTAGGTAAAGTAAGGTATACAGAAGCTTGTCTGGCAAAAATGCACCATTATGCAGAAAACAGACTAGGTCTTCAGAAATGCACCATTATACAGAAAACAGACTAGGTCCTTAATTTTAGTTTATTTTTTGAGATGGAGTCTTGCTCTGTTGCCCAGGCTGGAGTGCAGTGGCATAATCTTGGCTCACTGTAACCTCTGCGTCTAAGGTTCAAGTGATTCTCCTGCCTCAGCCTTCCATGTAGCTGGGATTACAAGTGTGTGCCACCACACCCAGCTAATTTTTGTATTTCTAGTAGAGACGGGGTTTCATCGTGTTGCTCAGGCTGGTCTCGAACTCCTGACCTTGTGATCTGCCTGCCTCAGCCTCCCAAAGTGCTGGGAATACAGGTGTGAGCCACCACGCCCAGCCACTAGGTCTCTTTTTAGTTACTTGAAATCTGGATAGATTACAGAAATCTTTCACGCATATTAAGCTCCTTTTCTCAACTTGCCTGGAAACAATTTGAGGGCAGGAATTAATTCCTGTGCTTACTATTCAGTTATAGGTACAGAATAAATAGTTCTGCAAACATTTTGCAACAGCAGTTCTGGACGATGAATGAGGGGCTCCACTAACATGAAAAAGTGTCAGTTTTGCAAAGAAAATACTTATACATAGTGCAAAATTCAGAAAGCCCAAAGGAGAGCAGTTTGTTTTTGTTTTTTTGAGATGGAGTCTCACTCTTGTTGCTCAGGAGTTCAATGGTGAAATCTTGGCTCACTGCAACCTCTGCCTCCCAGGTTCAAGCAATTCTCCTGCCTTAGCCTCCCAAGTAGCTGGGACTACAAGCACCTGCCACCACGCCCAGCTAATTTTTGTATTTTCAGTAGAGATGGGGTTTCCCCATGTTGCCCAGGCTGGTCTCTAACTCCTGACCTCAGGTAATCTACTGCCTCCGCCTTCCCAAGTGTTGTAATTACAGGCATGAGCCACCGAACCTGGCCTGTAAGTTTTTTAATGCATACCTTTTGTTCCCTTTGAATTCTACCATGTGCAAGAATTACCTATCTAACGTAGAACAACAGGCCAAAATGCATATACATCTTTAAATTGATTAGTAGCTACTTTGACTTGCCTAAAAACGTGCCAGTGCATTTGCTCAGCAGTGCGTTGGTGGGTGCCTGTTTCCCCGGCTCCTCCCTTTGGCTAACAGTATATCATGGAGTCTTCAGGCTCTCCTTGTCGGTGACCATTTAACAAGGATGGTGATGGCACAGCCTCTTCCTGTTTAAGCGGCAGGGGACTCTTGTTCTGTTGCAGGCCAGACGGGCGCAGGGAACAACTGGGCGAAGGGGCACTACACGGAGGGCGCGGAGCTGGTGGACGCGGTGCTGGATGTGGTGCGGAAAGAGTGCGAGCACTGCGACTGCCTGCAGGGCTTCCAGCTCACGCACTCGCTGGGCGGCGGCACGGGCTCGGGCATGGGCACGCTGCTCATCAGCAAGATTCGCGAGGAGTTCCCAGACCGCATCATGAACACCTTCAGCGTCATGCCCTCGCCCAAGGTGTCGGACACGGTGGTGGAGCCCTACAATGCCACGCTGTCGGTGCACCAGCTGGTGGAGAATACCGATGAGACCTACTGCATCGATAACGAGGCGCTCTATGACATCTGCTTCCGCACCCTCAAGCTGACCACGCCCACCTACGGGGACCTCAACCATCTAGTGTCAGCCACCATGAGCGGGGTCACCACCTCGCTGCGCTTCCCAGGCCAGCTCAACGCCGACCTGCGCAAGCTGGCAGTGAACATGGTGCCCTTCCCACGCCTGCACTTCTTCATGCCCGGCTTCGCGCCACTTACCAGCCGCGGCAGCCAGCAGTACCGGGCCCTGACCGTGCCCGAGCTCACCCAGCAGATGTTCGACGCCAGGAACATGATGGCCGCCTGCGACCCCCGCCATGGCCGCTACCTGACCGTGGCCACCGTGTTCCGCGGCCCCATGTCCATGAAGGAGGTGGACGAGCAGATGCTGGCCATCCAGAGTAAGAACAGCAGCTACTTCGTGGAGTGGATCCCCAACAACGTGAAGGTGGCCGTGTGCGACATCCCGCCTCGCGGCCTGAAGATGGCCTCAACGTTCATCGGCAACAGCACAGCTATCCAGGAGCTGTTCAAGCGCATCTCCGAGCAATTCTCAGCCATGTTCCGGCGCAAGGCCTTCCTGCACTGGTTCACGGGCGAGGGCATGGACGAGATGGAGTTCACCGAGGCCGAGAGCAACATGAACGACCTGGTGTCCGAGTACCAGCAGTACCAGGATGCCACCATCAACGATGGGGAGGAAGCTTTTGAGGATGAAGAAGAGGAGATGGATGGATAGGTGGAATAGAGGAGCCGCCCCAGCTCAGATCCTACAATAGGCAAGTTCCTTCTTGAACCCTGGTGCCTTCTACCCCATGACCCTGAATGGTGCACTAGCCTAGGTGTGTTGGTGTTGGTCCCTCACAAATGCAGCCAAGTCACGTAATCAGTCATCTGGAACAAAGACAATACTTTAAAACAGCAGAGAATTGTGGGTTCTACCCAGTCAGAAGATAACACTATGGAGATTTTCTACTAGAGGATTTGAAAGAGAACTGAGGGGCCACAAAATAAACTTTCACCTTTCATTAAGTGTTCAAGTGTGTCTGAGAATTAGCAGGGGAGTTAGAAACAGTCATTTTCATCCTTTGCAATGAAGCCTGAAGGTGTGCTGTGTTGCCTTATATCAATATGCAGTATGAGACTTTGAAATAATTGATTCATAATAAAATACTAAATGTGTGTCTTCATCTCTCTAGCCATGTGCATACATAAGTTACTCTGTATGATTACAATGGCTGCTCGGGTCACTGGTCTTCCTGGGGTGAACTCCTCCCCTCTCCAGTTCACTAAAACAACAAAGCAAAGAGATCTTCTTTAAATGGAGGCTTTAAGGGGGCAGCCAAAACTGCATAGCTGCAAAGCAATGCAGCACAAACAAAAGCCCCTCTTCCTATTCGCAGCCACCTTTTAGACTCCCATAGATAGAATCTTGCATTTTCCCAAGTCAGGTCCTGGGCTAGAGTTCCCTAACCTAGCCAAAGGAGCCACAGGAAAGGCCTTTGGGCCTCCAGACAAAGCCAGGGGTGCTGGGGCACCAGCAGCCAGCCCTGTGTAGAAGGGATGGACCATTTTCTGCTGTGACCCATCACACTTGATGGCTTCTACCACTGGCCATGTCTTTGGAGTTTCCAAAGACAAACTCCACGGGGCACAGGCAGTAGCCTTGTTAGTGCCTGGTACAGACCCCACTGTTCACAGCATTTCAGCTTTACTTCTTCCTGCCCTCTTGAAGCTGTGAACATGGGACTTGCTCCAGCCACAAGAATGAGCATAGCATGTCATCAGTTGGAAGCATCATGTGCCCTCCTGCTCTGCCTCCCATGTAGGCAAGCCCCCAATCCCTCCTATCCACCTATCTGGGTCCCTGGTGACCATCCTGGGCAGAGCCCGCTGTGACCTGTGTTGGACAGGCAATGAGAGACACACAAAGCTGTGTCATTTGGGGACACTGAGGGTCAGAGTTCCCCACAGCACAACCACAATGACCTCAGTCTGTGATCCCAGGCCTTATGTTCACTAGCTGTATTTATTTTGTGTTAAGCCCCAGCCTTGGGCAGAGGGAAGGTTCATCACTAAACACAGCAGCATGGCTTGAGGTGATCACAGATCTTTTTGCATAAATCTGAACTGAGACCACAGTAAAAATGAATCTTACCAGCTCACCACCCACATCTGTCCTAGAAACATGCTCCGTGTGACCGTGGAGAGGAAAAGATCTATGCGTGAGCAGGCCCCACATGGCAGTGGCATAGGTAGCCACTGTTCCTCCTAGCACAGACGGCCACTTGCACAGGCTGAGCAGCAGCTCTAGGCCACATTGGTGGCCATCCAGGGCCTGGAGCTTAAGGTGGCTCACTTCACCACAAACAGGTGATGTAGGTACTGTCTTTGTCACCTTTTTTTTTTTGAGATGGAGTCTCACTGTGTCACCCAGGCTCACTGCAACCTCCACCTCCTGGGTTCAAGCAATTCTGCCTCAGCCTCCAGAGTAGCTGGAATTACAGGCGCCCACCATCATGCCTGGCTAATTTTTGTATTTTAGTAAAGACGGTTTCACCATCTTGGCCAGGCTGGTCTCAAACTCCTGACTTCAGGTGATCCACCCACCTTGGCCTCCCAAAGTGCTGGGATTACAGGCATGAGCCACTGCACCTGGCCTCTTACTGTCTTTGTCACTTACTGTATCAAGCCTGACTCACAGTGGGCCACACTCTTATCCCCCAGGAGGCCTCACAGCCAAGGCCTGTGAGAGGGCAGCCCACGCTGGCTCCATGCCTTGCAGTGGTGGGGTAAGGGGTAAGAGCATCTCCTAATCGTCTACTGCCTGTGTGGTAAAAAGCATACCCGACACCCTCATGACTGTGTGAGCCTCAGCCTGGAAACAATGCTTCACTCGGCACCTCCTGAAAATGCCCTACGAGAAAAGGAGGTGGTCAGTGTAACATGCCGGCAGGCCACTGAGGCTGGCAAGTGCAGAGGTCAAGATGGGGGTGGCCATTCTCCTGACATGCTAAGCCTGTTGAGTCCAAACAGCTGCTTCCATGGCCTGCCAGAGGACAGGTGGGCACCTCAGGCTGGGAAGTGGCCATAAATGGAGCATGTGTGACCTGGGGCCATAGCAGGGATGCCACTAGATTGTGTTAATTCTAAAGTCACTGTTCCCACATCAACACCACACAAGGCAAGCTGGAGTAATGTTAAGAAACTACTGAAAATGTAAATAGTTAAAAATGCCAGTGTCTCCTCCATGTCCAAATAACATCTGATTGAAGACAGCAGATCTTCCCATGCCATCTTTTTCTAGGAATTTTGATGCAGGTTTGCAACACTGCAGACTCACTTTTCTGGAAGCACATACACCAATGACTCCCTTCTAGTAGAGAATAGGAGCAGCTTACCATTCAGACCACTCTTGAGATGTCCCCAGAGATCCAGGGCCCAGGGGATTCCAGCTCAGTTCCACTATCCCTTGTCTCAAATCCAGGTGACAGCTCAGGTAAGCCTGTCAGGCTACAGTTACACGTTAACTTCTAGACCCAGGGGGTGTGGTCAACATCTGGACATGCCTGGCCTCTTGAAGACCTGCACTGGGTGGTTATCAGGGACTCAGGCTCAGGACCCATGTACTTTATATTCACAGCTCAGTGCATCTTTATAAGACATACAACTCTAGAAGGTTCCAGTCTCCTGTGGGAGCTGATGAGAACCAGCAAGATTGAGATTTTGAAGGATTCCCCTCTAAAAAGCAAGAACATTTAATTGCTTGTCATTATGTTTTCTAAAAGTATCCAGAGCATAAATAGGGACCCATTGTGTGTTCAGGAAAAAAAGTACAGTGTTGACATTTTATTTTTGATGTAAAGAAGCCATATTTACATAATACATTCATATTTTTAAATATGTTACAACTCTCTGTAGAAAACCATCCCATTAAGACAGCAACAAGTGATCTGGATTCAATCTTTAAAATAGTAAATCAAATTAAAATGTTCTTATCAGGACTCCAGTTTAATTTCACAGCCTATGTGCACAGGGGAACTGAGGAGAAACAGGAATGAACAGTGGGCAACAAAGAAAGCATCCCTTCCCACATGCCAAGAGTCCAATGCAACGATCCCTGCCACAGGGTCTGCTGGCCCCACTTGGTGCCACAGGGTCCAGCCTGGCTGCTCTGGGCTCAATCTTCCCAGCCCATCTGGGAGCCCAACGAGGCTGTGGGACAGTATGCATCTCCCTCAAGGCCTCTGGAAAGTCACCTGCCACCCATTGTGACCTCCGAGGCTGAAAGGACTACGGACTCCTCTCCCCATCATTTCAGCTGGGCCAGTGGCTGGCTAAAATCAGCGCAGTATTCCCATTCTTCTGAAAGCCAGAGCTGAAATAATGCACCAGCTGAAACCACAGTGGACAGACTGAGATGGCCTCCATCTGGGCGTCTAGTTGGCAACTTTCTCACCCGGGGGCTCCTCTTTCTCCTTTTCCCGCTCCTTGTTCCAGTCCTTAAGGCCTTCTGGAAGCGAGGTGTCCTCATCCAAGCTGCCAGTGCCTTCCACAAATTCTTCATAGGTAGATTTTTCTGCAAATGGTCTGGGGCCCAAAAGTTCAACCATATCATTCTTATCTAATACTTCTTTTTCTAACAACAGAAGAGCAACCTGAAAAATGAACAATGTCCATTAAATACAGTTACTCAGCAAAATCTATTCAGAAATATTAATTTTTTATTTACAGGTGACCCCATTCCAAAAAAGGATTTAAGACCAATGAAAAAGATGTTTCATACATAAGGTTGCATAGTTTTCGAGTAAGATGTGCAAAATATCAAAGCAACCAATGTCCATCTGTAAAGGACACATTTCCATAATAGACACATTTCCATCTATCTGCACAATGAATGTTGACTATCTGTAATAAAGGAGGAAGCTGTATGTTCTATATACATCTCAGAGATACACCACATCAATTAAAAAGATGTTCAGTGTGCACAGCATCTTATGTTTGCTTTTCTGAGGTGGTAGGATGTATTTTTTTATGTGCGTTAAAGCAGAATAGGCAAGAGCCATTAGCCTAGGGCTTTTTCTGCACCCAGAACCCATCCATACAAAAGGAAACTGGAGCTTAACCTAGAGGCATTCCTTGTAACTAATTTCAAATTAAGCTTCCACCAATCATAAACAGCCAACCAGCCAACTGGTGGCAGAAATTGGGACCATGCATTGGACTACACAAATAAGGCAAATGCCCAGCAGCAGCCAATCAAGCAGTCATGCACCGCTAACAACCTTTCAATGACCGGCCACATGTAGACAACGGTGGTCCCGTAAGATAATAATGCCTTATTTTTACTGTACCTTTTCTATGTTTAGATGTGTTTAGATACCACTGTGTTACAGTGGCCTGAAGCATTCAGTAGAGTCACATGCAAAAAGGTTTGCAGCCTAGGAGCAATGGGCCATACCACACAGCCTAGGTGTGCGGCAGGTGTAGTGTACTCTGATACCTCCATGATGACAAACTCAACCAACAGCCAATTCCTCAGACCCTATGCCAATCGTTAAGCAACAGGTGACTGCAGTTTCTTTACTTTGCTTCTATGCTCAGTCTAGGAAAGCTTGCTGCTCATGCTATCGGAGCAGAGCTCTGAACTTCTGATTCTGAGGGCTGCCCAATTCCTAAACTGTTCTTTATGCAAGTAAATTTATTTGTTAAATTTATTTTGTCTAAAGTTTCTTTTAAATAGTACATAAAAAATATCTGGCCAGGCGCTCATGCCTGTAATCCCAGCACTTTGGGGTGGCGAATCACCTTAGGCCAGAAGTTCAAGGCCAGCTTGGCCAACATGATGAAACCACATCTCCACTAAAAATATAAAAATTAGCTGGGTGTGGTGGCACTTGCCTGTAATCCCAGCTACTTGGGCAGCTGAGGCAGAACTGCTTGAACCCGAGAGGCAGAGGTTGCAGTGAGCCAAGATCGAGGCACTGCACTCCAATCAGCCTGGGTGACAGAGGGAGACTGTCCCACACACACCCAAAAATTCACATACACACACACACGGGCAGAGACACACAATGAAGCCAGGAAGGTTAAAATAGTTTACTTTTAAGTTCTATTCATTTGTTACAGCTGGACCATAAATTTGACAGTACAGGTTTTAACAAGCTATAGAAAAAGGGACCCCTGCCGG